GCACTCACCTCCCACCCTGCCCACTTCTCCTCCCAGATGAAGTTCTCGCTGGAGAAGCTGCATCAAGGCATCACGGTCTCAGACCCTCCCTTCGACTCCCAGCCACGGCCCGATGACAGCTTCTCCTGAGGACCCCCAGCCACGTGGCTGACCCCCCCCCAACGAACAGATGGACACAGAGCCTTGGCGGCCACTGCTGGCACGGTGTGAGCGCCGGGAGCCCCTCCACCCACCCCTCCCAGTGGCCCAGCCAGGGGCCACGCAGAAATGGGGACCACAGAACCGAGATGCACTTTAGACCAGCGTGTGCAAGTCCAGCTGCCATCGCCTGCCCAGCCAGGGAGCTGGCCTGGCCTTTGGCAGGCCCCCCGCTAACTTATTTTGCCCCCCCCTGGGGTTGTGGGGGGCGCCTCTGGGGTGCACGATTCCCTCAGCTCTGGGTTTAATGTATTATATTTATTTGGGGCCAACAGAGAGCCCCAATAAAGGGTTGGAAATGGCTGTGGCTGTGCCTGTGGGGTATCTGGGAGTGGTGGTGGGGGCTCCCGTTGTGCTGGAAGGGGGAATCTGTCCATTTTCAGGGGCCCGAGTCAGTCACGATCTGGGATTCTCCAGCATCTTCCACAAGCTTTGCGTCTTCAGGGTCCAGTGCCGGGGCTGTGAGGGCAGACTCGGGTGCCTGGAGGCCTGCGTTCAGATCCTACCCCTGATCCTTAGTGGTCACGTAACCCGGGTCAAGCCCTCTGAGCTTCGGTCTCCTGTACAGTGGGCATAAGAGTGGCACCTTTCTCCTGGGGTTCTTAGAAGTGAATAGTTCTCCACCTCCCGAGTTTCTGAGTCAGCAGCTCTGGGGGGGCGGGGGCTGAGAATCTGCTCTTCCAACAAGCTCCCAGGACCCCACTTTGCAAGCCACTATTATAAGAGATGCATTAATAAATGTGGCTACTCATAAAAGGGCCTGGCGCAGAGTACGTATTCAACTGTTACTCTTATCATGGAAAAATTTCGGGGAGAGAAAAGTAACTCCTGTAGTAAGCACCAAGTGTGGGCCAGGCTCTGTGCCAAGGTCTGGTGATCATTTAAGGCTCACAGTGACTCCATGAGATGGCGGGGGGTGGGGGGAGGCAGTTAGGTACGTGTCTGAGGCCACTCTGCACGAAGACAAGGACCGCAGGCCTGTCCCTGGTGTCTCCACACTTAGATGCAAGGTGCTGTCCCCTGCAGGACCCTACCATGGCCTGTCCAGGTTGAGGCCGTCTGGACCCCTGTCTTGCCAATGAGGAAATGGGCTTAGAGGCCAAGTCTCTGGTCTTCTAAATTGATGGTTTGGGACAGAGGACTGGAGGGAGGGGTTGGATGGAGGCGGGAGGGACCACAAGTGGCAAAGGACAGAGCCATCCTCTCCTCTAGCAATGTGATCGTGGCAAGTTAGCCACTCTGGGCCTCCGTCTGCCATACCTGTTAATTGGGAACAGTGGTAATGCCCACCCTGTAGGAAGAATTACAGTTAATGTTAGTAAAGTGCTTAGAACAGCATCAAGCCCACAGTAGGTGCTCAGTGAACACCAGCTTGTCGGGCTGTGAGTAGGTGCCCTTGCCCAGTGCCTGAGGCCTGTCCTCACTACCTCCGCCTGTCACCCGCTGCTAGGGGGAGGGCTCGGTACAGCAAGAGAGTTATTTTCTGCAGGGCAATTTCACAGCCCAGGAGGTGTTGGCACAGAGGCTCAGGCCACAAAGTGTCCAGTGTCCCTGGCTTCCTGTTCCTCTGCCCCGAGCCTGCCCCACACCCTGGTTCCTCTTGCTCCGCAGGACTGGGTCAGGGGGATTCTGGAACTTCACCGCACCCAGAACTGGAGGCCAGGACCTGAGCAGCCAACCTGAAGTCTCCCTCCCACCCTGGTCCTGACAGCCCAGAGCCCACACCCCCAACTTCTCCACCCGGCATTGCTGGGGCAGGATTCCGGATCTACCTGAGGCCAGCTACATGACCCTAGGCAAGGGAGTGAGGAGCTCTCAGCCTCAGTTTCTTCTTTTGTAAAATGGGGATAGTAATAGAACTTGCTGCCAATATTGGGGGAGGGGAGAAATGGATCCAGCGTATCAGAAGGGCTCTAGCATTGGCCTTTATTTACTTTATCGAGCACCTATAATGTGCCAGGCACAGTTCCAGGTGCTGGGAACACAGTGGTGCGCAGGACACTGTCCTCACCTGGGGGCATCTTCTAGTCCAGGGTTGGAGGGCCAGGCGGTGGAAGATCTATATAAAGGAAGAGTATAATGTCAGGTAGTGACAACTGCGGTAGAAAAAAAAAACGAAACGAGTAAAGTCGGTCAAGTAAGGGACAGGGGAGGCAGTTTCCTGGGAATGGACAGACGACCTGATGAAGGTGACATTGGAGCCAAGAGATGCGGGAGAAGAAGTGAGCCTTTTGGTCACCAGGGGGAAGAGTGGTCCAGGCAGAGGGAAGAGCAAAGAAGGCAAAGACCCTGAGGCAGGAATAAGTTTGGTGCCCTGGGAACGGAAGCAGGGGCCTGAACAGTGGTGGTGGTTGGGGGTGGTGGTAGCATCAGAGACCAAGGACCCTCCTCCTGAAACATGGTACCCCCCACCCCCAGAGCAGCGTCTCTGGTTTAGATCCAGCGCCCCCCCACCTGCTTGGGTGGAGTCTGAAGTATTCTAGGTGGCCCTAGCCTGACCCCCCCCACCTCATGCCCACTTGGGTTCCAGCACAGTGACCTCCAGGCCCCGATGTCAGGGATCTGAAGGAGAGGTCACTTGGACGTCCCAGCCGAGTCCCCCTCCATCCCATGAGGATGACCTCCATGAATTGAAGTCGGAAGCCCTACCCCCCAACTCCCTCTAAGCCCTTCCGTGACTCTGGGGGTGACCTTTCCCAGACTCCATGCCGGGGGTCCCCAGAGTCGGGAGGGGTCGGGGACACCCAGGCCATCCGCCCATGCCCAGAAGCCGCGGGTCCCTGCACGACCCGGAGAGGCCGGTGCAGCGGGCGCCTCCCGGGCCGCTGCGGCAAAGGCTGGGCGGCCGCGCCCTCCCCCCGCGGTGATTCATCCCGCCCCCTCCCGCTCCCTCCTCCCTCCCCGGGCCGCCGCCGCCGCCGCCGCCGCCGCCGCAGCCGCCGCCGCCGCCGCTGCAGTGCGCAGGAGACCGCGGCCCGCGCCCCAGCGCGCCCGAGCCGGAGCGGGGCCGGGGTCGGTGCACCTGGCGAATGTGCCGGGCTGCGCGCGCCAGCGCAACAGCCCGAGCAGCGGCCGCCGCCCGCGCGGCGGGGATGCCCGGACGCCGGGCCCCGGGGCTGGGCCCCCGGCGGTAACCGGAGCGGGGGGGCCGCGCCCCCCCCCTCCGCCCCCCCTCCTCGCTGGTCCCAGAGCCGCAGCTGCTGCGCCCGCGCGCTCCCGGGGACATTCTAACCACCGCCCGGGCCCTCTGCCTCTTGCCCCGCTATTAATACCGGCTGCCCGGGAGGGGGGCGCAGCGCGCGCAGCGCAGCCATGGGGACACTGCTGGCCTTGGTGGTCGGCGCGGCACTGGGTGAGTGCGCGGGGGCGGGGGGGGGTGGCGCGGCGGGGGGTGGGGGGGAACGGCCCGGGCAGCAGCCCGGCTGCGGGGTGCGCGCGCGGGACCCGGGACGGCGGGGCGAGGGCCGCCCCCGGCCCACTCCCCGGCCCGGCTAAGTCCGCTTCCGAAGTTGTGAGCGCGGGGAGCCGGGCGGGGGAGGGCGGTGGGAGGTGCGGGTGGGCGAGCGCGGGCGGGGGCCGGGCTGGCACAGCTCGGCGGCTGCGGGCGCCCAGCCGGGGGCGAGGAAACGCGGAGTCAGCTGCTCCCGGAGCCCCGCAGGCTGCAATGTGACACCCACAGCCGCGGGAGGGGGTGGGGGAAGGCGGCGCCCCGGAGACTGGGACAGGGGAGACCGCGAGACAGGGAGCGATGGGGACGCAAGGGAAGGCGCGAGAGGCGCGGCGATTCCGAGTCCTCCGGAGTGCTCCGCCGAGACTGGGGATCGGGAGTAACGGGGAGGAAGGAGCCGCAGAGGGTTGTAGAGGGTGCCAGAGAGAGGCCGAGAAGCGAGTTAGAAATCGGAGCGCTGGAGAGACAAACTTGAGAGAGGCAGGAGAGATGGTAGATAGACACTGGGAGAGGTGGAGTTTAAAAGGGACAGGAGTTTAAAAGGTGGAGAGAGGCCGTCTGAACCTGGAAAGAGGACTCAACGTGGTGGACCCTTCAGAGAGACTCTTACCTAAGATATAAAGTAGGGGAGACAGACACAGAGGTGCTCAAGGAGTTAGAAAGAGCAACGGAGGAGGGCACGGAGTTCCCCGGATTCAGAGAGGGAGAGACTCGGGGACAAGGAAACAGCCCCAGAGCTGGAGCCGGAGAGGCGCAGCATTAGCTGGTGAGCGCTGGGCCTTGGGAAGGGGGTGGCAGGTAAGAATATGGAGGAGGCGTGCAAGGGGACTGGAATCCAGCGGGGGGTGCAAAGTCCCTGAGGCTGCAAAGAGCTCAGTGAATTTCAGGAAGCTGATAAGAGGTGGGAGAGGGGTCTGGAGCTGAGGAGCCTGGGGACAGAGGGGACAGGGGCCAGAGAAGCTGGGTAGAGGGTGGGTGACCAGAGAGCTGGGCTGGAGCGTGGGGCTGCCCCGGTTCCAGCGCCCACCCGCCCCTCTGAGGTCTTGCCTTCTCCCAACCCATTCTCTGGGGCTGGCTGGTTTTGCAGAGCCGTCATGGGGGGAAATGACTCCGCCACGTTGAACTTCTAACACATCTGGAATTCTAGTCCCAGAACCTAAATGCTGCAGTACCGTGGGCAAGGGGACTTCTTAAGAAGGGGTACATGTGTATCTACTTGGGTACAGAGCGAAGACTCTGAGTGACTGCCCACAGTGACAGCCCTATGTTGTTTGGGGGGGAGGGGCTTCCTGCGTGGCAGGCCCCCTGCTGGGGCCTTACTTCACTTGTGGAATCTGCCCAGCAACCCCTCGAAGCAGAGATGACCGTTTCCCTCACCTCAACAGAGGGAAACTGAGGCCAGAGGTGAGGAGGGACTTGCCAAGGGCACACAGCAAGTGGCAGGGGCAGGCTGAACGTCTGGTTCTGTCTGTTTGTAAACACTATTGAGGGGAAACAGATGGTTTCTGAGAGGCCCGAGAGCCAACGGCCAGGAAGCCTGGCATTGCCCAGGGTGCTGGGCGCCCCTGCTCCACCTGAGCCTGCTGTCCCTGCAGTGTCCTCAGCCTGGGGGGGCTGCGTGGAGGTGGACTCAGAGACCGAAGCCGTGTACGGGATGACCTTCAAAATTCTGTGCATCTCCTGCAAGCGCCGCAGCGAGACCACCGCCGAGACCTTCACAGAGTGGACCTTCCGCCAGAAGGGCACGGAGGAGTTTGTCAAGGTGGGGGGCGGCGGGCTCCTGTGTGGGACGCCGGGGCAGGCAGCAGGCGGGAGGGGTTGTCCCTTCATTTCTGATAATGTGCTATTCGTGACGACCTGGATTCAGATTCCAGTTCCACCCCTGACCAGCTGGTGACCTTGGGCAAGGCACTGGGCCTCTCTGAGCCTCAGTTTGCTGCTCTCTAAAGATGGGGTGGCGGCAGTCTCCAGCTCGTAGGCTTGGGGGAGGGTTGATCCGGTTGTTGCCCCTGGCACGCGGTTGGCACAAAGATTTAGTAGCGGCAAGGATGTCTCAGGTAGTCACCATGGGAGAAAAGCAGCGCTTTTCTGCCCTTCCGCACGCTGTATGTATTTTGAACTACACACATGAGAGGGCACCATAAACTCGTGGGGCCTCCCGGAGCGTTGGGGTCTGCCGTGGCTGAGACTGGACTCCTGTGTCCCGGGCTGAGGAGCGTGCCCGGTGAGAATGAAAACCAGGAAGGCTGAATGGGGGCCCGGGGGTGCAGGGTGGGGGGGGCGCCTGAGGAATACGTGTGTGAGTCTGCGTGTGTGCGTGGGCCAGGGACGTAGTCAGGGTTGGGGGCCGGCCAGGGCACGATCCTGGCCCCTCTGTGCCCTCCCTGCCTGAGGTCGTGGTGCCCACGTGTGTGTCTGCTGTCTCTCTGAGTGTCAGGGCAAGGGACAGAAGAGTCTGGACGAGGGTGTGGGGGGGTGGGGAACGGGCGCAGGCAGTGACCCACCCGACTACCCCCCAGATCCTGCGCTATGAGAACGAGGTGCTGCAGCTGGAGGAGGATGAGCGTTTCGAGGGCCGTGTGGTATGGAACGGCAGCCGGGGCACCAAGGACCTGCAGGACCTGTCCATCTTCATCACCAACGTCACCTACAACCACTCCGGCGACTACGAGTGCCACGTCTACCGCCTGCTCTTCTTTGAGAACTATGAGCACAACACCAGCGTCGTCAAAAAGATCCACCTTGAGGTGGTGGACAAAGGTGAGTCCGGCCCTGCCTGCCCGCTCACCCCTGTTGCCCACCGGAGCCAGATGGTGGGACAGATGGCAGGTCGGGGACAGGCTGGCTCCTCGCCTGGGCCAGGCAAACGCCCACGGCAGCAGGGGGAGCTGCACCTCCTTCCCCAGCCCCAGCTCTGGGTTTCCTTTCCTTTCAACCCGCGGCGAGGCCCCAGCAGACCTCTCCCCTGAAAGTTCTGGGTGCGGAACTCTGCCACCTGTGCTGTGGGACGTCCTGCAGGGGCCTTCCTGTCTCTGAGGAAGGGCTGTCCCGTGGGAAACAGGATGATAATGGTGTCCACCTCTCAGGGCGGTGTGAGGACCCAGCAGCGGGCTGGGTGTCGGCTGCCCACGTAGTGGGGATGACAGTGGAGGTGCCAACTGTCTGGTGGCCTCAGCCCCTCCTCCCTTGGTCACCCTGGCGGAAGAGATAAGAGTGCATCCCCTAGAGCAGAGCTCCTCAAATTCCACTGTGCTCATGAGCGTCCTGGGAGTCTTGCTAATGTTTAGACCCTGACTCAGCAGACCCGGGGTGGGACCCCGGCCGCATTTCTAACAGGCTCTCAGCGAAGCCAGTGCTGCCGGTGTGGGGTCGCACCGAACAGCAAGGATCTAAGGCGTTTGGGGACATTTCATCATTTTGGCTCCCAGCTGCCTTGGATCCCTTCTCTGAACCATCTTCCGATGGGTGTAAATTGGAATTTTCCAGGGCCCGAGGGCCCATTGGCTTAGAGTCAGGACACTCCCCGAACTTGAGCCACCAAAGAGCCATGGCAAATACGGCCCGTGGGGCCCACAGCGCACGCGCATTATCAGGGCACCGTGCATTGTCCTTCCTTTCCCCAAGGTGGGTGCAGACCCTCATTGAACCTCCCCACCCACCCTCCTGGCTAGGGGCCGCTACTCGCCCCACTTTACAGATGGGGAAACCCAGGCTCAGGGAGGTAAGATCACGTGGCCGAGATCGCAGAGCTGGGACCTGGATTTGAACCCAGCCAAGCACGTGTGACTGCCGTTTCTGTTCTTGGCGTGATTCACTACTCTCTGCTGTCAGCCAGAGCCTGTGGGTTTCTTTTGATAATTAGCATTTTTTACGTTTGTTATCAAACTGAACCAGCAGGATTCAGTGCAGGAGACATGTGTGAGCTCCTCTTTTGGCGTAGGTCACGATGCTGGGTGGGCGGCCACCCACGGATGTAGAAGACGGAGCCCCGCCCCCTGGGTGTGGCTGTAATAAGAAACGCCCCCAGATACCGCAAAATCTGTGTCAATCCTGTCTCCCGAATCAGTGCGGAGGCGAGGGGGTCAGGAGAGCTGGGAGGTTCCCAGGTTCCCTCCGTCCCGTGGCTCTTGTGGTTTGGCCCTTGCTCGGAATGCTGTCCTCACCTGCGGGACGGAGGCTGGGGCGCGAGCATGATCGATCTACCATATCCTACTACCTCCCAGAGCCTGTGTTCTTCACATTTACCAAAGGCAGAGCTCTTTATTTTGTCTTCCCAGAGTCTACGGGAGTATCCAACATACTCTAGTGTGTTTTGTTTTTTTTTTTAATCACCGTAGTACGGTATTTTATATTACTATATACTATACTATTTAACATTACCAAACATACAACAGTATTTTTATCATAGTCCATTATACTAGAGTATTGGTAACATTACCCACCATGCTATAGTATTTTAGATTAATCATATTGTAGTATTTTAAGTTTTACTTGTTCAACTGTATTCATGTATCAGCCAGCATACTGTAGTATTTTTAACATAACTCATCACACCACAGTATCTCTCTGATTACCCGTGGTTATTACCGTACTGTTAGCATTACCGGCCATACCGTATTCTTTTTTTTTTTTATAATCCACTATCTTACTGCATTACCCATTAGCCTAGAATGCCTCCTGGTAATACCCCAGGGAGTGAATGGAGTCATTTCCAAAGGAGGGCCAGTGGGTGTTGGTGGTGAGAACTTTCCTCAGCTAGCAGAGCCGTGGAAGATGGTAGAAGCACCTGGGGGGTCCCCCAGCAGGAGTGAGGCCAGCGAATGAGGACAAGAAGGCTACTTCTATCTCGGCCATAGCCAGTATGGGTGGAGAACAGCATCTGAGGCTAGTGAGAAATCCAGTCTGCAGGGGGGCAGGCTGGAGCTTCAGATCTGGGGGGCTGCCAGCTTTTAGAAGATTTGGGGGCTTTTGAAGAAATCAAAGTTCTCCCCGGAGAAGGGGCCTGTTACCCTCTGCGTGACCCCTCTGCCTCAGTTCCTCATCTGTGACGTAGGGGAATGACAGTCCTACCTCCTGAGATGTCTGTGTGGCTTCGTGGAGACTGCATTCGACATACAGCGCCCTTTACCAAGTGTTTCTTCGGCTGCGGTAGTTTCCAGAGCAGGGAAGAGCTCAGAGCCTGCCGTCAGTTACATTTGGGGTTGAATCCTGGCTCCGAGTCCAATCCTGGCTGTGTGTGCATCCTTGCCCAGTGCCCTCCCCTTTCTGAGCCTCAGTGTCCTTGTCTGGAAAATGGGCTACAGAACCGTGCCGGTCGATCACCGTCCTCATCTGACTGGGAGAGCAGGAGATACCAGATTACCTAAATCCATCTGAGCACTGAGTTCCAGGAGCAGGGAGGAGAATTCTGAAGATGTGCACTTTTTCCAACATATATCCAACTCAGTGCGCTTCCTGAGGTCAGCTGGCGTGGGAAGCCAGCACTCTCTCTATCCTTGGGGTGTTTCAGGGACTCAGGGAGACGCTCACATAAAGAACTTGGCACAGAGCCTGGCTGAAAGCAGGCATTCACCGTATGAGATGCCTTCCTATCTTTCGAATGAATGAATGACGCATGGAGCCCTCTCCCCAGCTCCTCCCGGCCCAGAAGCAGGGGAGAAACATCCAGCCCTGCCGCCCTCCCTCACTGTGGCCCAGAAAGCATCGGTGCCATCTGCATGGGGCGGAGCAGCGGAGAGTACCCACTGACGGGAGGAAAGACCATGTGAGGACAGTGGGGGAAAACGAGATCCTGGCCACCAGGAAGGAGAGGCCCGGGAGTACGGGGCGGACACCTGTGAAATCCGGCCGGGGACGTCACAGCGGCCTTCGCCTCTGGTTCCCTGGCTGAGCACATCCCCTTCACAGTTTAAATTTAGGCACAGCGAAAGGAAGTTGGCAATGGCAAGGGCCAGTGCCGCGGAAAGGAGAGAAGGTTTCCGGAAAATGTCAGTGAACAGCCAATATACTGAGGCGGTGCCGACTGCGAGCCTGTCCACGCCTGTTACGGGTATTAACTTGCTTTCTCTTCCCAGCAACCCTGTGAGAAGGCATGAGGATTATCGCCGCTGGTTTACAGAGGGCGAATTGAGCCTTGGAGAGGTGGAGTTGTTTGCCTAAGTCACACAGCTGATAAGAGGCAGAGTCAGGATTTGAATCCGGTCCCCAGAGCCCCTGCTCTTAACTACTATGCTCTACTTCTCCAATAATAAAAGTAATAGTAGAATTAATAATAGTAAACAGGTGTTGAGGGCTACCTATATGTCAAGCCCTATCCTAAGGATTTTTGAAGCATATTTATTTTTTTTTAAGATTTTATTTATTTATTTGAGAGAGAGAGAATGAGAGATAGAGAGCACGAGAGGGAAGAGGGTCAGAGGGAGAAGCAGACTCCCTGCCAAGCAGGGAGCCCGATGTGGGACTCGATCCAGGGACTCCAGGATCATGACCTGAGCCGAAGGCAGTCGCTTAACCAACTGAGCCACCCAGGCGCCCCGAAGCATATTTAATTTGTACAGCACTCCCAAGAAGGAGATATTGTGATTATCAGCTTTTCACAGATGGAGAAGCTCAAACCGAGAGAGGTTGAGTCACTTGCCCAAGGTTACACAGGTGGCAAGTGGCAGAGTCAGGATCTGAACCCGAGCCTTCTGGTTGCAGAGCTGCAACTCTCGGGCACCTGTGATGCCTCCTGAATGACACAGATGCCCCCTCCAGCCACCCAGGGAGGCAGGTTGAGGGGGATCCTGAAGCCCACTGGACGCTGGTTATTAGGAATCACAGGGACAGAGCGCCTGGCTGGCTCAGTCGGTCAAGCGTCCCGCTCTTGATCTCAGCTCAGGTCTTGATCTCAGGGTCGTGAGTTCAAGCCCCGCACTGGGCTCCATGCTGCGTGGAGAGTCTACTTTAAAACAAACCAACAAAAATCACAGTAACAATGACGACTCTAGGGAAACAGCATAGTCCCCTTTGCAGACCAGGCCCAGGGAGCCCAGGGAACCCAGGTCGCTTGGCCAAGCTCACAGCGCCAGCTTGGAGCACCTCATGCCTCCCGAGCCTGGCCTTGACTGCCACCTGACCCTGCCTGGCCCTTGCAGCCAACAGAGACATGGCGTCCATCGTGTCGGAGATCATGATGTATGTGCTCATCGTGGTGTTGACCATATGGCTCGTGGCAGAGATGGTTTACTGCTACAAGAAGGTCGCCGCGGCCACGGAGGCCACCGCACAAGAGAATGCGTGAGTGGCCCTGGTGGGGAGGGGGTCAGGCGACCCAGACACGCAGGCTTCCCAGAGGGGTATGTGTGTTGTCACGGATGGGTAGGGTCAGGACCCAGAGTCTGACCCCCCGAGGTCCCCTCCTCCCTCAGACTCAGGACTCCAGGCCCCAGCCTGAACTTCCTGCAGATCCCTAGGTGTCCAGCCTGCGGTGCCCGCCTCTCTCTAACTCCGGAAACTTGTGCACCTGGGGCAGAGACCCCAACCCTCCTAGGTTTCCCGGGGGTGGGCCAAACTGACGATGGGGTCACTCTACACCTGGCCTTTGCCCCCACAGCTCGGAATACTTGGCCATCACCTCAGAAAGCAAAGAGAACTGTACGGGTGTCCAGGTGGCTGAATAGCCCGGGTAAGGTAGGTGGGTGGGCAGGGGCTGAAGGGCCTGGGTGGGTGTCAGCCCACTAGGTCACTGACACCTGTCTCTCCCTCACCTTTAGGCCCTGGGCTCCACCTCAAGGAAGAGCCAGCCCTAATGGGGAACATCTGGGCACAGCCTGCCCCCAGGGGGGGTTGGCCATTCCTGGGCCTCCACGAGCCTCAGAGTCCTGCCAACGGAGCTGCCAGGGTGGGAGGGGGCAGGGGGCTTGGCTCACACCCCCGATCCAGCCCACTTCCTCCTGCCCCATCGCCCACCCACGCCATGCATGATGGGTAAAGCAATACTGCCGCTGCCCCCACCCCTGCTTCTGCTGCCTGTTTAGGAGGGGGGGCGGTGAGGTGGGGGCAGCGGCTCCGCACCCCTCCTTCTTGCTGATTTGCACACATTGGCCGCTTCAGATGCACACTACTGGGGCCCAGCCCCTCCCTGCCCCCCTCCTCCGCCCAGCGGGGGGGTTCGTGATGGGCCGGCACAGTTTGGGGCAGGGGGTTCTGGACCCACTCCGACCCGACCCCCAGAGACATTTCCCCTCCTTCCTCTGGCTGGACCTGGGGTCCCCTCTCCCTGTGATGCACTCTTGCCCCAGCCCAACCCTGCCCTCTCTCACCAGCCTTGGACTGTGGCCACTTAGAAAGGCCCATTCAGCCTCTTCTCTCTTCACAAGAGTAGTTTTGTTCATGAAATAAAGATTCTTGGACTTGATTCATAGTCTCTCTCGTGAGCCCCGTCACCCTCTACACCCCCACCCAAATCCAAAAGCCTCCGTTTTCCTGGGGACCCGCCCTCTGTGCACATTCGGGAAAAGGAGGGGGAAGAAGCAGCCACTTAATTAGTGGGGACCGGGAGGGTCACTCGCTCAGCGGGCGCCATGAGTGGGATGGGAGGCTGGGAGGGGGCCAGAGAGGAGTCACGGGGGCAGCAGGGAAGGGAAGGTGCTATGGAGGGAAGAGAGACATCAGGCGTTTTGGTGGTTTTCTGTGTTCCTAGCAGGGTGGCTCTCTGCTGTGGTGGGAGCTGGGGAGGGGCGAGGGAGGGAGAGAAAGATGCAAATGGGGGGAGGGGCAGAGAGAGATTAGGGGCTGGCAGCACCAGCGCCCCCCCCCCCCCCGCAGCATGACCCCTTGTGGGAGGCTGTGACTCTGCATAGGGCCGAGCATGTGGGATGAGCCGCCGCGGTCTGGGTTTGGGTGCATGGCTGTCCACTAGCAGGTGGCTGCTGGTGACCCTTGTGTGTCTGGGTGTTTATCTGGCCCTGGGGTCTGACGTGGATCACTCTTGGCTGCTGGCGGGACAGTGTGTATCTGCCTGTGGACACTTCCGGCCACTTGGCCTGGACCTCAGCACTCGGTGCTGCCTTTTCCGGGCCAAGACCCCCATCCCCCCACCCGGTGCAGGTCTTCCAGGCTCCAGAGGTCACGGCTGCAGGCAGCAGAGAGGCTGCCAAAGCAAACCAGCCCCCGTGACTTGTAGGAAGGCAGCTGGGGGGAGGGGGCTGGGGCAGAAGTTGGGGGAGGGGGGGGTCTGGGGCCAGGACTGCCTTGTTCAGGAGCTGGGTGGGGACGGGAAATAGCAGGGGGCAGTGGTAGGCCTGGGTTCAGGCAGGGGGCTGGGGTGGGGTGGGGGGTGAGCTAGAAGGGACAGGGGTGGATAGGGAGGGAGTTAGGCCTGAGCTGGGGCCAGGTGGGGCTAAGGCAAGGGCTGGGCCGGAGGCAGGAGAAGTGGCAGGGTGGGCTTGGGGCAGCTGCGGCCCTCTGTCTGGTTCCCTCCAATTCAAAGGCCCACCCTTCAGTCCTTGTAAGCACCCCCCTACCCCAGCCTGCTCTGTCTGCTCAAAGCAACCCCCCCCATCTTCGGGACAAACCTGTCCCGGCTCCCGCCTCCCCTCAGACTGGCACACCTGGGCCCCCTCCAGGCCGGAGGCAGGCTCCGCAGGTTGCTTGGGCCGGCCAGGTCCAGCCCTTGCAAACCCTGCCCCACCAGCCAGGTGGCCTCCCACGCTGCCAATCCGTTTGCCCTGCCCCTCCCCGCCCCTTCCCCCGCCTCCGGCCCGGCCCCCTCCTCCTCAGGTGAGGCAGCCAGGCCTAGCAGGCCCCACGCCGCTGCCTCTGCCTCCGGGCCACCGCTGCTGCGGGGCCACCATGCCCCTGCCCAGGCCTGGAGACTGACCCGAAGAGGGCACTATCTCTCAGCTCCGCCCCCACCTGCCGGACCCCAGGGTAAGGACCGGGGCCCTCACTTCCGGGCCCAGGGCATGGGTGCCTCGTGCCCACATCAACCTAATGCCCCCCTCCCAATAGCGGGGTTCCCGGGGGGCCCCAAGAGTGGGCTCTCAGACGTCTCTCCAAGGACCTCAGAGCCCCAGCCGCCTCCTGCTCAGATTCAGAGATTGGTCCCTGGGTCTCCTCTTCCCTCAGGCCCAAGACTCTGGGCCCCTATGCCCCTCCTCCCACACACCCGGGAGTTCTGAGCCCCCAAATCCCTCTTTCCCCAGGACCCAGGAGCTCAGGCTCCCAGGTCTCTCTACTCCCTCAGAGCCAGGCGTTCAGACCCTCGGTCCCCTCCTCCCCCAGGCCCAGGAAAGGGGCCCCCAACCCTGCAAATCCAGGCGTCCCCTGGTTGCTGGTCAGACACTGACCCCATCCTTGAACCCAGCCTGATCTGCGTCCGTGATCACGGTGTGCTCTGGCCAGGGCCCAGTCCGTCCAGCCTCCCTGGATGGGCGCCTGGGACTGGGGGCGCCAGGGCTGGGTTTGGCTCCCCCAGGCCCTGCCTCTCTCTTCATCTCCCCACAGGTCCCACCCCGGCCCAGGAGGTCAGCCGGGGAATCATTAACAAGAGGCTGTGACATGGCGGAGAAGGAGGGTGAGTCCCCTTTTCTTTGAGTCCCGACTTTGGCTTTGCCTGGCGCCCCTCCCTCTGTGCTCTGCTCCCAACCCTCCACCCCCTCAGAGCCCCCTCTCTCTGGCACCCCTCCTGGGCCCATCCCCACCCCCTTCTCAAGTCTCCTCCACCTGATTAACTATTAACCGAATTTTCTGTGGGGCAGTGCTACCATCTGCCTTCCTGCTCCCCCATATGACCTTCCTGGGTCCTTGCCTCAGTTTCCCCTCACACCCCAGTGATTTCTCAGCTAACCATGGGCCTGTCCCCCACTTGGGGCTAAGGTGGGAAGACCAGCTCTCACGGTTACGGGCTCGGACTCTGGAGCTGAATGCACAGGCCTGTATTCAAATCTGCTTCCGCCACTTTTTAGCCATGTGCTCTTGTACGAGTGACATCATTTCTCTGGGCTCCATCCCCCCCCCCGCCCCCAGGTCAAGCACAGATCCTCGGGCCACCTGCCTAGCCACACACAGGGGTTGCTGGGAGTATGGACCCCACACAAGGCATCAGTGTGGGGCTTAGCATGTGAGACACAGGCCATGAACCAGACATGACCGAGGCCGGCCAGCCTGGTGTCCCAGGGACCCAAGAACCCCACCAATTCCAGACATTCCTCCCACCTCTTTGCACTGTGGGCAAAAGAACAGAGGGAGGACTTTGGACTCGGCCGGGATGGATGGAGAGGGGAGAGAACACGGAGGAACCGTTCCAGGAATGATGGGAGCGAGCGCCCGCCTGAGTGGCCGGCCCTGAGGGGCTCTTGGCAGGCCCTGGCTGGGGCTCCGGACAGCCTACCTCCCTCTCAACCTCCGCCACACGTGGGAGCCAACTGGAGGGGCCCGAGCGGGGGGCAGCCTTTCCACCCTGCCCTCTCCAGCGGGGGCTGGCTCCCTCTCTTCTTCCTGGAAGCAGGCTAGCAGGGCTTCAGTTCCAGGTGATAGCCCTTTCAATCTGGGAAGCCCTGGGCCAGCGGCTTACCCTCTCTGGGGCCTCAGTGTCCATCTGGAAAATGGAGCTGGGGTGAATGCACCCCTCACAGGATTTAAAGGGCATGAGAATTAGGGGGTGCTGGTTGCGTTGGCTGAAATGAGCTGTGTGGATTACTGGCCTCCTGGGCTCTCAGCAGTCAGCAAATCGCATCCCAAACCGTGCAGCTAGGGCCCAGAGCAAACCCAGGCTCCCAGTGGCCCAGGACGGGGGGCACTGTGCCCTTGCCGAGCAGGTGGCTGGCAGAGCCCGAACCCTGAGGGACTATGTTCCTCCTGGAGCTGACTGACAGGAGTCTCCAGGGCCCGGGCCCATGCATGAATGACCCAGGGAGAAAAGCAGATCGTGCCTGGAAGGATGGCCAGAGATGGTCTGGGGACAGAGAGAACTGAGGCAGAGTGGGCTCCAGTGCATCCCCAGGCAGCTCGACCTGGTCCTGTGGCCGGTGGTCAGACCTGGACCCAGACGCCGAACGGTTCTGGTGCCATGCTTACTTGCTGGGTGACCCAGGGGACGGGGCTGCGCCTCTCTGGGCCCTCTTTCCCCATCTGCAAACCGGGGATGATGATAATGATACCTTCCTTATTAACACTGGGTGCGAGGCTGTAAGGAAAGTGCAGGCCAGGGCTAGGCGCGCGAGTCTGAGCCGGTTGTGTTAACTTCGAAGTGTGCCCGAGGCAAGGTTCTTGGTGCTCCCTGGGGACTTAGAGTTGGAGGAGGTGATACCTGCTGGGCTGACGTGCAGGGTGAGTCGGAATAGGTAGGGGGTGCCTGGCAGAGGGGAGAACATGGACAGAGGCAGGGGCTGACGAGCTGCCAGGTGTGCAGTGGCACATGGAGAGTTCGGGTATTTCTGGAGGCCAAGTTGGAAGCGGAGCTGGGAGAGTGATGAGCTGAGTGAGCCGGAGCCTGGTCTCTCAGGACTGTTTTTGGTGATGGGCCGGCAGGTGCCCCGGCAGTGCTGGGTCTCTCCACAAGATGGCGCTGGTGGTCATTCTTTGTTTCTCTTATTCTGACTTGGGTTTTTACAAGTTCTGTGGGTTTTGTTGCTTGCTGGAAGCTCTGTCAGGGGTCTGGTAATGACCCATATGGCTCTCTGGGAATTTGGGGAAACATAGGTTCGACTCCCAAATCTCTAATGGCCATGCTTATATCCTAGAAAGCCTGGCACCACAGGGCTGAGGGTCTTAGACTCTGTCTTGGGGACACTGGGGAGTCATGAAGGATTCTAGGTAAAGGAGGGACAGGGTGGGTTTGGTGCTTAGGATGATCCTCAAGCTTCCGTGTGGAAGCTGGGCCAGAGAGGAGGCTGAGCCTTGGGTGGTGCTGGGGGCAGGGAAGGAGAGGGTGGACGGGCGGTGCTCAGGAGGCCTGCAAGCTGTGTGGGGAGGGAGGCGTCCTGCAGATGAGGAACAGTCCTGAGGATGAGGGCCTCCAAGACGGGACCTGGGGATTGGGGGGGAAGTTGAGGCCAGTATGGGACCTGGGGGCTGTGAAGGACCCAGAGGTCCCAGGGGGAGGCATCTACAAGGCTGCAGGACAGAAAAGGGAAACTGAGGCTGTGGAGGTGTGTGAGACAGACTTGGGAGCAGGGGCCATGAGGGGGAGGAGGCCACGTCCCACCCTGTGAACTCCAGGTTTCAGGGAGCGGGAAGAGGGTCAGCAGATAGAGAAAGCCCCTGTTGGAGAAGTGGAACGAAAATCGGACACATGCGGTGTCCCAGAGGCCAGAGGAGAGACTTTCATTCAGGAAGCTGGAGTTGGGGACGCCAAAGGCTGAGACACAGGCTGACTGACTGAGCCGGGTTTCAGAGACAAGGAGCCAAAGATGTCCCCTGTGAGAGTTTAGCTGCCAGAGGGTGGGGGCCGAAGACCTAAGGTGAGGGCGGCCCTTAGCGCCCTTGAGGAGCAGAAAGCAGCGCCTCAGGGAGAAGCCAGGAATCCCGGCAAGGCTGCTGCCTCACACCCAGAGTGAGGACGCTTCCTGCCTCAGGAAAGACGTGCAGTGAGGGTGCCCCTCACATTGGGAGGACCCAGAGTAAGGACACTTCCTGTCCTACCAAGGGCATCCGCTTTAGGCGTGGAAGGAGGGCATGGAAGGAGGTCCTTCAATGCTTGCCACCCCAGCAGACGCACCAAAGGCCCTGGGCTGGGCTCGGAGTGGCCCCAAGCCCTGATAGGCACCCCTGAAAACAAAGGGACCAGGACCGGCCTCATGGCTGCAGGAGCCAAGACCTCCCACCGGCACTGGGAAGACGGCTGGGAACAGAGCTGGCTGGCTGGGAACAGAGCTGGCGGGGCGGGTGGGAGGCCAGGGCTGGCCTGGCCCCCTGCAGCCTCTTTGGAGGGAGGGTGTATTTGTTTTCTCTTGCCTTGACGGGAACTGCTGGGCTCTCAAATTCTTAAGACACCCAGACAGTGGCCGTCCCAGGAAGATCCTGGACGATGCTCCGCCCCAATCTGGGTGCTGGTCTGGCCCTGTGCCCACCAGCTGTAGACTGCGCTACAGGTGGGGGAGCTGGGACTCCTGCCACCCTGGAGATGTCCTGCAGAGGCCATCCCACAATCCCTAGCGAAGGGGTTGGCTTTTAATCCCCAGGGCCCCTGTTGCACTGGGAATAAAAACCCCTTTCCCCTCAGGCCACCCGGCCTCCCTGGCTGCTCTCAGCCTAGGTCCCTGCCTTCCCCAAACTCATGCCATCCTGGCCATATCTGTGGTCTCTCTCTCGAACAGATCATGCTTATTCTTGCCTCAGGGCCTTTGCCTGTGCTGTCCCTTCTGCCCAGAGGGCTCTTCCTTAAGATCTTTGCGCAGATGGTTTCAGCCTTCAGGTCTCAGCTCAAAGGTCACTTCTTGGGGAGGCCTTCCCTCAGCACCCCACTCCAGAAGCCACCTGCTGCCCCCGACCTGCATTGTTTTCTTCATAGACTTTGCAGCTATCTGGGAATAATCAAGTTTGTTTACTTGTTTATGTTTTCCCCTCAACCTTACACATATGGGAATGTGAGCCCCATGAGAGCCAGCATCTCATCTGTCTTGGGATGTGTCTCCTGAGCCTAGAATGGTGCCAGGTACAGTGGATGCTCAGCAAGACAATGAATGAACAAAGCTCTTTTAACCAAGGAGAAAACTGAGGCCCAGAGAGGTGAAGGGTATTGCCCAGGAACACACAGCTCTAATGATGTAAAAGCATTTATTGAGAACGTGCTCTCTGCCAGGCATTATGGCGCGGGGAGAGGGAGCACGGCTTCTTACTTATACGCTTGGGCCCCAGCACCCCATGTGCCCCAGGGCTCCCGGACTCGGCACTGCCTCCTGCTGGCTGAGTCCCCACCCACATGTCACTCCACTTCTCTGAGCCTTAGCGTTCCCTGTCCGAAAAATGGGAATCCTCCCCCAAACGAGGACAGTGCTTGGGAGAATAAGCCTGTGATAAGAGTTCGGCTACTATGATATGAGGGAACTTAAAAAAATTGTTTTTAGAGGTGAGTGCTGGGTGGGTGACCATTAAACAGACAAGAAAGCTGAGGTTTAAAGAGGTGAGGCCACCTACCCAAGGTCCCAGGGTCGGGAGGGGTAAGGCCAAAATTATTAAGAGGCTGGCAACTTTTCAAACTTAGGTTCTGAACCTCCAGAGGGTCCTGTGGGAGAGGGCTGGTTTGGGGAGATGCCCAGGGACAGAGGGGCTGGGAGGGCAGAGAGGGATGGGGTGGTGAGGACATGGCAAACAGCAGGGAAGTGAGCTGCCAAGAGGGCGGAAGTCAGGGGTCACAGCGCCCAAGAGGCTCCAAGAAGCTCTAAGAGAGGGAGCAGAAGTGAGGTTCAAGAGAAGGAGATAGCAAAGTGCAGCGTCACTGGGGAGGAGAGAGCCCGCAAGTGCCAGGAGGGCTGGGACGGTGGCAGCGGTCCCGGCCACACCCCTTCCCAGCTGGAAGCCTCAGGGGAGCGGGACACCTGTAGGGGAGGGCGTGGGCCCAGGGCGTGGCAGCCCCGGGGGGGGGGGGGGCCAGGGCAGAGCTGGCCGCGTGCCCAGACCCTGCGGCGAGGAGGACTGGCCTTGGCAGTGGCCCCAGCATGGTGTCTGTTGCAGGTGGCCGGACTGTGCCATGCTGTTCCGGACCCAAGGTGGCAGCTCTCACCGCGGGGACCCTGCTGCTCCTGACAGGCATCGGGGCAGCGTCCTGGGCCATTGGTGAGAGTGGTCCCTGCGCCTCTCCCCTGCCCTGCCCTGCCCCGCAGCCCCTTGCCTGCCTGCCCTCACCTCTGCCTTCTCTGCAGTGACCTTTCTACTCAAGAGTGATCAGGAGCCGCTGTATCCGGGTGAGTAAAGCAGGCCGGGACCCTCTGGGGAGCCCTGGAGGAAACCTGTCCCTGGTGGGAGCTCAAGAAAAAAATTTCCGAGTGACTGCGTGAGCACGCGCAGAGATGCTAATAGCACTCAGATTGAGCACCTGCTGGGGACAGGGTGCCGTTCTAAGCACTCCACCTTGTCTTGTGTTTTCCAGACTCTAAGTGTGTTACCCATTAGTGCCTCATGAAATCAAATTAGGGAGTCGGAAACCACATTTTAAAAAGCACGAAAGAGAGGGGCCCCTGGGTGGCTTAGTCGGTTAAGTGTCTGCCTTGGGCTCAGGTCACGATCTCAGGGTCCTGGGATCGAATCCCGCATCGGGCTCCTTGCTCAGCGGGGCGCCTGCTTCTCCCTTTCCCTCTGCTACTCCCCCTGCTCGTGCTTTCTTTCATTCTCTCTCTCTCAAATAAATAAATAAAATCTTTTAAAAAATAAAAAGCATAAAAGAGATTAGATTAGAAAAGACCACAGTGCATCTCTCTCAGCACGGGAAGGTTTTGTTAAATCTTTCGTTTTGGTTCCATGAGAGCCGTGCTGTTATTCACTCCATCTTTACAGATGGGGAAACTGAGGCTCAGAGCAATACAGGGATTTGCTCCAGAAAGCACAAGTTCAGGGCTACATCATAAAATGTAAAAATGTGTTTCTTTACTATGAGGCATGGTCAGAGCCCATTTGTGAGGTGCTGTATGAATTTGGCGACCCCTTCTCATTCTCTAGGGTGGGTGGGTGGAGGGGGCTACTGCTGCTATGATCCCCATTTACAGATGTGGAAAGTGAGACCAGAGAGGACACACAGCTGGAAGATGATGAGGCCAGGAATAGCTCTCAGACTGGCCTGGCAGAGCTGGGTCTGCAGGCAGCTGAGAATGAATGGCTACACTAATAATAGATGTGGAAACTAAATGTGGAATGAATGGATGAATTTTCCCGGGTGCCAGCCCCCAGCTGCCGTTCTGTGGCCCAGCACAGCAGGAAGAAAGGGGAAGTTGGGTGATGGGATGTATTTTTCACTCCCAGGAGCCTCATCTAATTCCATAAAGGACTCAGCTCATGCTAAGAGAAGAAATGAAAATCCGGACAAGGAAAGCCTACATCAGCGTTGGTCACCATCCCAGCACTTAGTGAGCATTTATAGGTGCCAGGTGTAGGCGTCGGGGCTTTATGGTTTCAATTCATTAAACCCTCACAAAAGCCCATTTTAATATGGGGAGACTGAGGCGCAGAAAGGTCCAGCGACTTGCCGCAGGTCTCAGAGCTAGGAAGCAGCAGCTCTGGGATTCGAACCCAGGCAGCCTAGATCTGCTCAATGCAGAATTACTATCCTTTGCTGTTTCTCGAGAAACAGCCAAGCAACTTGCAGTAGTGACAGCTACCATCTGCTGCCCCCGTGCTGTAACCTTGGACCTATTACCCTTGCCCCCCTTTTGCAGGTGGGGGACACTGAGGCCCAGTGAAGTGAACTGACTTGCCCAAGACCACACACCGAAGAAGCGGCAGGCCAGAGGGATCATGTCCCAGCAGCCGCTCCGTAGCTCCGTAGCTCCGTAGCTCCCCACTGCCACTGGGCTAAAGTCTCAACCCCCTGCAGGCTCCAGGGCTCCTAGGGGGCAGACCCCTCTTCCGCCGTCACCTCACGCTTGCTTCTGGCGCTCTCCAGCATCCAGCCTATGGGCCATTCTCATGCCCTTGAAGGGCCCTCCTGGCCCCACGGTCTTGTCTTACCACCTCTTGCCTGCTCACACCTAGAAGCAGTTTTGAGGTTCTGCTGAGTTCTGGGGCCTCAGACCCATCCTGCCCTGGGTCCCAACCTCCTTAGTCATAAGCTAGGGGGCCATGGGGAAGAAGGAGAGACAATGCAGTCCACTTGCTAAATGTGGCTTTGGGGGTCTCACCTTCAGGCTTTAACTTTGCTGAGCAAGGCCTTCCTTCCTGCACCCCCAGGCCCCATGCTCCCCCCACCCCATGGTCATGCCTATTGCCCAGGGTAAAATTCTCCTTACACTTGACTTCTGGGGAATTTCAGGAGGGCAGGGGCACTGGGTTTGCTGCCCCAGACGGTGTCCTGCACATGGTGGGTGCTTAGGAGGTCTTTGCTTAATGCACAAGACAAGTCACCAAGATGAACTGACTTGCCCTTGACCTCCAGCTGGAAAGTACCTAGGCCGTGATTCAGACCTCGCTCTGGCCAACGCCAGCACCCCTGCCCTTCACTTATACTTGGGTTTTCCAAAAATGATGGGAGATTACAAAACAAATGAAAACAACCCCCAAACTACATCCCCGCCTCATTTTTCTGGGATTTTCACAACCCTAAATATATCAGACAATTCAGTAAGCAAAACCAGATGACCCAGAACACATTTTCTTTTCTTTTTTTTTTTTTGCAAATAATACCAACAAGAATGAAGAGTCGAAAAGTGAGAAACAGTGGCACAGAACGTGGCTTTAAAAATAATCGGGGGGGGGGGCGCCTGGGTGGCTCAGTTGGTTAAGCGACTGCCTTCGGCTCAGGTCATGATCCTGGAGTCCCGGGATCGAGTCCCACATCGGGCTTCCTGCTCGGCAGGGAGTCTGCTTCTCCCTCTGACCCTCTTCCCTCTCGTGCTTTCTATCTCTCATTCTCTCTCTGAAATAAATAAATAAAATCTTTAAAAAAAAATAAAAATAAAAATAATCGGAGGGGGCATTTGATATTCCCTCCCTCTCCCTCCCCCAACACATATCCGTAAAGTGATCCTTTTTTCCCCCCTAAAACCTTACCGTATCTGGAACACTTGGAAGCTTTTTACCCCCAGCTGGTGTTTCAAATCCCAAGTCTTGGTCTTGGAACTCGGGGTGGTGGGCGCCATCCGCAGGGGTGCCAGGCATCGCCTGCCCCCACCCCAGAGCAGGGGGCAAGGCAGTCAGGAAGCCTTTGCTGCGGGTAAGGAAGTCACTGGACAGGCTGTCCGGGCCAACACGCAGAGCTTGAGGTCTGGAGTCACGCAGACCTGAATGCAAGTCGTCTCTGCTTCTCACTCACTTGGTGATGTTGGGCAAGGCACCTCGCCTCTCCAAGCTTCAGCCTCCTCCTCTGATCAGAATGGGGATGATCTTTGTGGCCTCGGGGTGGTGTGGCGAGGCTGTGCTGTTGGTGGGCAGGGAGAACATGAGCCATAGTGCTGGGCACACGGCAGGTTCTCAGAAGACAGGGTCCTCTAGAACTGGGTCTAGAACTGCCTCCCTTGTCCGGATCAGGTGGCTAGGGGAAGACCCCTCAGCTCAGGGGAGGCCAAATTGAGTTTGCCCCAGATCTGGTTTCCTAGAATGTGCTCTGGGGCGCCAGCAATGCAGGAGGCTCAGGAGAATAGGACCAAGGGGTCACAGCTGGCCTTTCCCCAAACTTGCTCCCCCTGCGCCCTGCCCCATCCTGGTCAACGGCAGCTGCATCCTTCTAGGGCTCAGGCCAGACACCTCAGAGTTGTCCTTGACCCCTCCCTTTCCTTCACAGCCACGTGCAATCTGTCAGCTCGACCCACAAAATCTCTCCAGAATCTAAACTCTTCTCCCCCACTGCCCCCCGCCCCCGCCCCGTCCGGGTCTCCATCCTCCGCAGCCTGGACTCCACAGCAGCCCCTCCCTGGGCTCCCTGCTCCTGTGGCGCCCCCTACAGTCTGCCCCTGGCCCGCAGCCAGAGGGAGCCTGTGAACTCCCCCAATCGGGTCAGGGCGCTGCTGGCTCAGGGCCTCCCCTGGCTGCACCTCTCTCCCTGGAGAAGCAAAGTCCTCGCATGGACCTGGCCTTCCTCCCAGCTCATCCGCCCCTCGCTCACTCTGCTCCAGCCTCCTTGCGGTTCCTCCCCCACCCCCGCCCCCACCTCCACCAGCCTTGGGATCTCTGCCCTTGCAGTTCCTGTGGCCTAGTTCTCTGTTCCCTCACCTACCTTCACGACTCTCTCGACTCCCTCCCCTCCTTCAGGTCTATGTTCACACCCCACCTTCCCAGAAAAGCTTTCCCTGCCCGCCTGTGGGAAATGGCAAGTTCTCCCCACACGCCAGTATGCCCCTGCCTCAGTCAAGCTGGATTTGTCTCCTTGGCTCCTTATTTTGTGACACACCGTCTATTTTGCTTACTTGTCCCTTTCGTTACCCATTTCACCTACTGGTCCTGGAGCTCCACAGAGCAGGAGTTTTGTCTGATTTGTTTATTGCCATGACAATTTGTTCATTGCCCAAAATAGAGCCTAGCACGTCCTGAGTGGTAAATGTAAATAAATAGGCCTGAGGGCTGTGACCCGGCTTAGGTGTGGAAGACGGTCCTCTGGCCTTGCGTGGGGAGCAGCCCAGGAGGAGTTAAGAGGACCGGCAGTTCCCAACACAACCAGCCCCAGACGCGAGGAATACCCCTGCACTCTCCGAAGCCTTCCTGTATCTTCGTCCCCTCTCTTCTCACAGTTTGTGATGATGTGTTTGGTTGAGTGACTTTTTTATTGCTGTCTGTCTCCCCCAGTCCTAGACTTTGGTTTGGTGAGGGCACAGCCCAGGGCTGTCTTGGTCATCTTTATGCCTCCAGCGTCACCCCCCACCGGGCTGCGTATGGACTATACATCCAGTTAACGCTTATTATAGGGTGAATGAATGAATGAGTGAGCCAATGAATGAATGAATACTACATTGTCAGCTTGGAGAATTGCACTTGAATATATTCAAGTCTCGGACAAGTCCTGCAGAAAAGATAGCTTTTCTTTCTTTTTTTTCCTCTTTCTTTTTTTCTTTTTTGAAGACTATAGGGTATCTAAATATTTTGGCCCTCTGAGGTGTTAGTCAAGGGTCTTCGGGCTGCCTAAGACAAAAGGAGAAAAACTGGTTAAACAACAAGGGAACAATTCACTTACTTATCCAACCATTCTGGGGGTCTTTAGGGGTCTGGCTCCATCAAGGGGCAGACATCTCTTGGCTTTCTTCCACGTTGGCTTATTTTTCCCCCACATCGGGGCAAAGACGGCCCCCAGCAGCTCCAGCCTCACACGCCATTCTCCTGTGAGCGTGGTTGAAACCGCTTCCCCCTTCCCCGAAGTCCGATGTCCTAGCCGATGTCTGAGCAAAGGGCCGGACGTGCGGCGCATGCGCGGCCAGCTTAGGTAGCCGGGAGGCGACAGGAAGGTCCCCGGGTCCCTGGCCCGCAGGCGCGCCCCAGCTCCTATCGGCCCCCCGCGGAGACTCAGGCCTGGAGCTCCGCAGGCCGGGCTGGGGGGCGGGGCGCTGCGGGGAGGTGACCCAGGCGGCCGTCCTGTCGCCCTGCAGTGCAGGTCAGCCCGGCCGACGCCCGGCTCATGGTGTTCGACGACACGGAGGGCACGTGGCGGCTGCTGTGTTCCTCGCGCTCCAACGCCAGGGTGGCGGGCCTGGGCTGCGAGGAGATGGGCTTCCTCAGGTACCGGGTGGCCCGGGGGGCGGGGGGGTGGGCAGGGAGGGGCGGGGCGGGAGGAGCAGGCCTGACCCCTGCCTGCCCAGGGCCCTGGGCCACTCGGAGCTGGACGTGCGGACGGCGGGCGCCAACGGCACGTCGGGCTTCTTCTGCGTGGACGAGGGGAGGCTGCCGCTGGCCCGGAGGCTGCTCGAGGTCATCTCTGTGTGGTGAGGAGGACCGCGGGGCCCGGGCGCCCATCCCGCCTGCCCTCGGGGGCCCTTTCTCCCGCCTGAACTGGCCTCCCCTTTTGTTTCCGCCTCTGCCCCTTTCTGTCACAGTGACTGTCCCAGGGGCCGTTTCCTGGCTACCGTCTGCCAAGGTGAGTCCTTGCTACTCGGTACCCTCTCCCTGAGACCCCCCAGGGCAGGGCCATGTCCCATCGGACACCCCCCACCCCAAGCCTGCCCAACACACACTGGCCATAGCCTCTTACCCTACAAGGATGGAGCTGGGACCTCTCCGACTCCCCTGGAGAGGGAGGCATGACCATCTCCCCATAGGGTTCCAGGGATGGGACTATGTCTCCTCACTCCCCTAAGGTGGGCCCATGTTCCGCAGAACCCTCAAGTCAGGGTCTCGTCCCATCAGACACCCCCTCTCCCCCCACTGGCCATATTTTCTTAGATCCTATGAGGGTGGAGCTGTGTCCTCCGACTCCTCCAGGGTAGCAGGTCCGTGTCCCCTCAGGCCCCCAGAGCAGGGCCATGTTCCTATAGGTCTCCAGGGATGGGGCTGTGTCCTGAAGGTTCCAGGCCCTCCCGCTGCCCCTGACTCTGCCTCTCCCGCAGACTGTGGCCGTAGGAAGCTGCCTGTGGATCGCATCGTGGGAGGCCAAGACACCAGCCTGGGCAGGTGGCCGTGGCAAGTCAGTCTCCGTTACGACGGAGCACACCTCTGTGGAGGGTCCCTGCTCTCCGGAGACTGGGTGCTGACAGCCGCCCACTGCTTCCCTGAGTGAGTGTCCCCCACAGCCCTGAGCGGGGGAGGCGGGGGAGAGGCGAGCTGGGGGAGGCCGCGCCCGGGGAAGCTGCCGCCCTTCTCTCCTATTCCCTGGTAGGCGGAACCGGGTCCTGTCTCGATGGCGAGTGTTTGCCGGCGCTGTGGCCCAGGCCTCACCCCAGGGCCTGCAGCTGGGGGTGCAGGCAGTAGTCTACCACGGGGGCTATCTCCCCTTTCGAGACCCCAACAGTGAGGAAAACAGCAATGATATCGCCCTGGTCCACCTGTCCAGCCCCCTGCCCCTCACGGGTAAGTCTGGGGGCTGGACCTTGGCCTGGGGACTCAGAGGCTGGAGGACAGAGGACCGAGCCATAGGACTCCATGGTGATAAGGAAAATGACCTCTAGGGGAGTTAAACACGGGGTTCGCATTTGCCTCAGCAGATCCACCCGGGGCTACGTGCCCAGAGGAAATGAAAATACAGGTGCACACCAGATCTTAGACACAGGTGTTCACGGCAGCTCTATTCACTTTGACAGTCAAAAGATGGAAGCAGCTCAGATGTTTGACGAATGGATAGACAAAATGCGGTAGATCCATACAGTAGGGTAATATTTGGCCATAAGACGGAATCGTGGAGCACTGACACATGATATGTGACCGATAAACCTTGAAAACATTGTGCTAAACCAAAGAAGTCAGACACAAGAGGCCACTATGTGATTCCATTTATATGAAATGTCCAGAAGAGGGAGAGCTGGAGAGACAGAAAGTGGATTAGTGGCTGCCAGGGGGTTGGGCTGGTGTGAGGTATGGGGGAGGGGGGCGGATGGGGACAGGGAGATTGGGAGGTGACAAGTAGAGAATACAGGATTTCTTTTTTGGGGTGATCAAAACGTTCTCAAATCGATGGTGGCCATAGTGGCAACTTCCTGTTGCCAGGCATGCAGCTCAACTCTCTCTGTGAACCCCCTAAAGATCACCGACTCGCCCGCTGAAGGGGCTGAACTGTGTGGTGTGTGGATTGTGTCTCGGAAAAGCTGCTACCAAAAAACACAAGTGAAATGAAGAAAACTTTTACTTTTTTTTAAATTTTTTAAGGATTTTATTTATTTATTTGACAGAGAGAGAGACACAGCGAGAGAGGGAACACAAGCAGGGGGAGTGGGAGAGGGAGAAGCAGGCTTCCCGCCGAGCAGGGAGCCCGATGCGGGGCTCGATCCCAGGACCCTGGGATCACGACCCGAGCTGAAGGCAGACGCCTAACGACTGAGCCACCCAGGCACCCCCTGCTGTGGTTATTTTAAAAGAACAGAGGAGAGGGTGCACTGGGGCCCTTGAGGCTGCTGGACAGAAGCTTTGTTCCAGGCGGGGCAGGCCGGCAGGGGTTGGACCGCCTGGTCTCTCTCCCAGAATACATCCAGCCCGTGTGCCTCCCGGCTGCCGGCCAGGCCCTGGTGGACGGCAAGATCTGTACCGTAACTGGCTGGGGCAACACGCAGTACTACGGTGAGTCCTGTCCTCTGCCTGCAGAGCCACCGTGAGGGAGACGGAACTGGGCTGGGGAAAGGCAGTCTGGCTGGAAAGGCAAATGCTTCTTGGCCCTGGGGCCCAGGGACGCTGAAGAGCCTGGGGGGGCAGCAGGAGGGAAGGGGGCTGCGCCTGTTCCCCAGCCTCGGCCAGCCTTGCCCGCACACCCCCAGGCCAACAGGCTGGGGTACTCCAGGAGGCCCGAGTCCCCATAATCAGCAATGAGGTCTGCAACGGCCCCGACTTCTACGCGAACCAGATCAAGCCCAAGATGTTCTGTGCCGGCTACCCTGAGGGTGGCATTGACGCCTGCCAGGTGAGGGACTGTGGGGGGCGGCCCCGAGCCCCTGCCACTCCAGGGATGGAGACACAGGTCAGTGGGTGGCCGGGCTCCCTCTCTCAGGGCCAGAGGGCTCTGTGACCACAGCCCCTGGCCATCCAAGAGGGCCTCCCGGATGCCTTCTTGGCCTCCAGCCCGGCCTCCCCTCCCCACACCAGGGTGACAGCGGTGGCCCCTTCGTGTGTGAGGACAGCATCTCTCGGACGCCACGTTGGCGGCTGTGTGGCATCGTGAGCTGGGGCACCGGCTGTGCCCTGGCCCAGAAGCCGGGTGTCTACACCAAAGTCAGTGACTTCCGGGAGTGGATCTTCCAGGCCATAAAGGTGAACGTTGGGCCCAGATGGGAGCCAGAGGGCGGGAGTGTTTGGGACTCTAATGGGGAAAGGGGAGGAGGCAGGGGTTTTCTGGAAACCTGTGCTCAGGCCAGAAGATGGTGCCCTAGGGAACAGATGGATTTCCAAGGGCTTGTGGGGAGGGGAGGTTAGCTGTGGGACTGGGGAAGCCTCTCAGACCTCAGAAGCCCCCAGTTGTCTTTCTCCAGACTCACTCCGAAGCCAGCGGCATGGTGACCCAGCTCTGACCTGTGGCTTCTCCTTGATGCGCACGCCTCTGGGGCCCAAGTTCACCGAGGTGGCTCCAGCCCCACCTGGTGGGGTTCACCCTGGGCCTGGAATGGGACGTTTTTCTTCTTGGGCTGAGCCCACAGGTCCAAGGATACCCTCCCTCCAGGCTCCTCTCTTCCACAGTGGCGGGCCCACTCAGCCCTGGGACCACCTGAGCCTCACCCTCCTGACCCCATGTAAATATTGTTCTGCCATCTGGGGACCCCCATCTAGGTGCCCATGATGACAGGATGCTCTTTAAATAATAAAGATGGTTTTGATTAACATGGCCTCTGAGTTTGCAAAGGTAAACGGCAATGATGACATTTGTCTGGGAGGGAAGAGAGAAATTAGGGACTGGCACAAATCAGGCAGGGAGCATTATCCTCCAATTCTCATTGGCTTAAGAGAAAAAAAAATTAGGGCGCCTGGGTGGCTCAGTTGGTTAAGCAACTGCCTTCGGCTCAGGTCATGATCCCGGAGTCCCGGGATCGAGTCCCACATCAGGCTCCCTGCTCAGCAAAGGAACCTGCTTCTCCCTCTGACCCTCCCCCCTCTCATGTACTCTCTCTCTCATTCTCTCTCTCTCAAATAAATAAATAAATCTTAAAAAAAAAAAAGAGAGAAAAAAAATTAATTGGTTCACTTAACTGAAAATGCCCTGGAGCATGTGGCTTCAGGCACTGCTGGATCCAGCTGCTCAAATATTTTTCATTAGGACTGCCTCATTTCCTCTCTAAAATCTGCTTTTGTACGGAGAAAAGCTTTATTTGCAAGAAGCCTCCCCTACAACCAGAGACAGAGATGTCCCCCACCCACCCAAAGGCTAGGCTGATAGGCCATGGACCACTTAGCAGCCCCAGTGGAAAGGAAATGCTTTTCTCCCAATAGCTACAGCAAGAAAGGCCCAGGCCTGGCTCTCACTGGGCAGATTTGGGTCATAGGCTCATCCCTCATCAAATCACTGTGCATGTGATGCATGGAGTCAGGGGGTTGACCATCAAGAACTATATGACTTCAGTGTAGGGGGTTCCCCAAAGGAAAAAAAGGGATGTAGATGCCCAGTGTGTGTTGGCAGGGGGAGACATTCACCATAGGCCAACACAAGAAACCGGGCCCTGTAGGGTGGAGACAGGAGTGCCAGGCCCCATGAGCAGAGCCTGAGACCCCCTGCCCCTTCCTTCATCAGGGCTGGAGGTTGGGTCCCAGCTTCCCCTGGGACCCACTCTGTTCCCTAGAGCATCTGCAGATCTCATGGAGGCTTGACGGCCACCGGGGGTGTTTCCTGTGTTTGCCACCAGGGGGTGCTGCTGCCCCCAAACTGGGAGAAATTGAGCGTTTTCTGCCCTAATAGTCCACGGGTTGCTGAAAACCAGCTGTTCTGCAGGAAAATGCTTACCAGAGCCTGTTTCCCATGACTTCCAGTGATAAAAATTATAGTGTGTTGCCCATCAACTGCATGCACCCAAGCAATTTCCTAAAACACAGACACAGGAAAGTGCCTTTGAATTACAGACTGTTTGGGAAATGCGCCAAGCATCACTCCCTGGATACCAAACTCTTAGCGTGGCTGATCCCCAACATTGCTTTGTCCTTCCGGCTCCACCACCCACCCCCACCACCGTCCAGTCTCATTTGCAAGCTCCAGGCAGGTTTTCCAAACGTCTGCACGAGGCTGCACAGTCCTACCCATCCTGAGATGTTCATTTGAGACTTGGCTCACACATTGTTTTGTTAGAATTGTGTAATTAGCTGAAAAATGAACGGTGCCTGTGTTTTATGAAGCTCGGGGATTCTGAGAGAACACGGCCCCACGGTGGGGATCCTGAACAGATACAACCATGTCTTAGAGGGCCTAAGGGGACACAGCTTACCCTGGCAGGAGGGGGCTGGTCTGAGCAGACTTGTCCCAGCTCTGCAGGGGACAAGAGAGGGCATGGCCTGCCTTGGGGGACCTGAGAGGAGGCAGCCTTATTCTAGGCAATCTAGTGGATGTTTGGGCATTAAAAGCCAGTAACAGGTCCACCGGAAACAGGTCGACCAGGGGGCCACTCTGGCATCCACCACCATTATTGCTCTCTTGGAGGCAGGGAGGCAGTTAGGGGAGACCACGATTCACTCAACAGCCACCTACCACCTTCTTGTGTTTGCCAAGGGTCTGTGAGCCTGTTTCTCCTCCTGCCCCCACCAATCTTGCCCCCCTCCCCAAGGAGCCACACAGGTATTAGAACCATGACGACAATCCAGAGTTGTCTTGATGTTCTGCCGGGGTCTCTCGGTCTTCAGGAAAGTTGACTATCCAAACTCTAAACTTCCGAGTCACTGGTGTGCATCTCCGAGCCAGAAGGATTTGGCCCACCGAATATAACCATATCAGAAGCACAAGCAAGGAAGGCTTTGCATTCACAGTCAGTGCTTCTAGCTGAATATTCATTTGCAAATATAGAAGAGCCTTCTGGATGTCAGTTGCAATGGAAAGCTCTGCACGAAGTTCCTAAGTTGGCGTCCTCCCAGTCAAGTGGAAGGAGAAACGTTCAGTCTTTCACAATAGTTCTCTTACAAGGAAATTGCCACCGTGATTAACAATGATTGTGATGATCAGAAATAATTACCATGAACGTTCAAGTAGTGGTGCGAATAGGGAGTGGATTTTCGTTTCTGCAGGAAAAATAACACTATTTAAATCCTGTGGTATCACGTGGGCAGCGGTTCCAGTTCCGTCGCTGCATAACAAACCACCGCAAACTTAGTGGTGTGCAATAGCAAGCATCTTATGATGTTCGTGGATTCCGTGGCTCAGAAAGTCAAACGGGAGCAGCAGGGACTGCTTGGCTCTGCTCCGTGATATCGGGGTCCTAAGCTGGAAGATCTAAAGGATGGAGGGACTCACTGGACAGAGGTGGGGTAGGGAAGCTGCTTTACTCACACGTCTGGCACCTGGGCTGGAGCGGCTCAGAGGCTGGGCTCAGCTACCAGCTCACCGGCCTCTGAGCATGGCTGCCTCAGGACATTGGGACTTCTCAGGGGTCTCAGGCTCCCCAGTGAGCATTTCAGCAAACACTGCCTCTTATACCCCAGCCTCCCTTCTGCTCTACTCAGTCAGTGGAAGGCGTCACAAACCTGCCCAGACTCAGAAGAGCAGAGAGAGACCCTGCCTCTCAGTCCGTTGAAAAAACTCGGGGCCGTATTTTAGAACCGCCACAGAAACTCATTGACTATAGGAGCATGTTGGCCGCTGATGTAGTGGAGACACTGTCCCTCACTAAAGTGTTCAACCCGAAAGATTGGCCTGCTTGTGATTGTGGTTGAGAAGATTGTGACAGTAATAAATGTTTAATACATTTTCAGATTTGTTTTTATGTTTCAGAAGTTCATCCTAGGATAGTGATATTCAGCTTTGGGCGTATCCTCATTTTAATGCTCAGCTGGTCAGCATTTGGTCAGAATGCCTATTTGTTGTCCTTGTAAATAATAATAATCTTCATAAGAGTAAGTGTATGAATGAATATTTTTAACAATTTTTATGTGCTGGGCCCTGCTGAGAGTTTTCTGTATGTTATTCCATTATTTGCTCAAAGGCAGACATTTGAGTGTGGTTTTCTTAATTTTTACTATTCATTCAACTAGTATTTATTGAGCACCTATTATGTGCCAAGCAAGCACCGTTCTGAGCAATGGGGACACAACTGGAGACAAATCAGATAAAATTCCTGTTCTTACGGGTTGTCTTGTGGGGGGCGGGACAGGCCAGGAATAAATACCACTGGTCCCACTTGTATTACTATTTTATTTAGATCATGTCTTTCTGCTTCTCTTTTTGTCTCTTTTTTCAACTTAGCCTTGACTTTCACAGTAATCTTTTAAAAAACTGAAGGTTTCAAGCGGCAGTGGCGTACTTTTTTCAATAGAAATAAAAAATATTAGGGGCGCCTGGGTGGCTCAGTTGGTTAAGCATCCGCCCTCAGCTTGGGCCGTGATCCCGGGGTCCTGGGATCGAGCCCCATGTCCGGCTTTCTGCTTGGCGGGGAGCCTGCTTCTCCCTCTGCCTCTGCCCCTGCCCCTTCTCCTGCTCATGCTCTCTCTCTCTCAAACAAATAAATAAAATCTTAAAAAAAAAAAGAAATAACAAATATTAGATAAACAAATCAGAGTAAAATGAAGATCAGTGCTTCCTCATTCCCTCCTAGATGCTCCCAGAATTCCTGCATGGGCAGCCCACGAGCCAGCCACACTTTGGGAAATGCTGCTTTAATCCTCACACAAGCCAAGAGGAGAGGTCTGTGGGGTATGCCTGTGGGACATCCTACTGGGGGGCGTGTAATCTCCTCGAGGTGGCACCTGTGAGGGGGCAAAGCCGGGGCTGTGACTGGAACATCTCAGGAGAGGGGGCCGGGTCTCCCACCGCCACCCCCCTCCCTGCTGACCAGGCTTGGACACTGCTCCCTGGGGTGGGAGGGTGTTCCCAGGGCCCCATGCCAGGGTGTTCTGGGAATGCAGCTAGGAAGCCTCAACCAGAGATTCTTCAGAGTCGGGGGAAGGTGAGGGGTCCACTCACATCAGGGCCTAGGATAAGCACCCCTCCTCTCTCCCACCTGGTTTGACCAGGTGCCCCGGGGACCCCTACGTTGACCATGGAGTGCCCCCTGCCTAACTCAGAACGTCTTCTGCCAGGGAAGCCCCCACCGATCTCCGCAGGTGACGGCATGAGCCTCCTTTGCTGGTTCCTTATTCCCAGCTCCATGTCAGTCTTTCCTTCCGTCGGTATGTCCCCCACTCATGCTCCCATATGCTCCGCTATGAGTTTCTAGCACAGAGTCCACCATCATTCTCTGCGGCCACCCCCTGTGGGTCCCTGGGCCAGCCTGCAAACCCCTTAAACTCCCCAGGGGCACATCTTGACCACCGCTCCTCACCTGCTGGCTCAGGGCCCAGGAGGCTGCGAGTGTATCTCTAGCACCCTGCGGAGAGCTGGGAGTGTCCAGGGGAGGAGACGCACCTGCGTCGTCAGCTCAGGGCAGCAGAGTCCCAGTTCCCCGTCCGCGGTTTGCTTGACTCACGCTCAGGCCTGCTGATGAAGTGGGGAGCGCCTCCTGGACTCTGAGTGCCTGTGGCAACCCTGCCCATGGGGAAGGCCCTGGAAGCCACCTGTCCGCTCTCCCCACTTTACCCTACCCCCACCCACAGGCCTGGCCCAGCCCTGGCCAGTCCAGCCAGACCAGGTCAGATCCTTGGGAGCTTCCTGGGCCTGCTGGATCCTCGATCCTGAGGTACAGGCTCCCCAGCCC